GTGTGTTTAGTGTCTTTCGGTTGTGTGTTCGTTTTTATTATTGTGTTGTTAGTTGCTTGTGTAGTGGCTTGTAGTAGGGTTGCCGAGGGAAAGTTTCGGTGGTTGTATCCCCGCTTTTTCTTGTGTTTGTTTTGGTTTTTCTCTAGATCACTCTTTGAGTGTATCTCCCATTGTAGTTGTACTCAGTCGAACTTTGTTCGGTTTCTTCCTTTTTATTAATTTTCTATCGTTGGAAAAAAAAAAAAGTTGAACATTTATAATAAAAAACCTTACAATTGCAATGAAGTCCTTAAAATTTATCAAATTCTCAAATACATTCCCCACAATTTTGAACACATGTCTGTACAATTTGTCTCACATCAGCACATGAATCAACTTCGTCTCTCCCCGTGAAGGTCTCGTTGGCAATCGCCGGTCGTTGTGGGCGCTTGTATTCCGGCAATGACGGCGGCGGAGGTCTCCACACAGCCGCGACCATCTCACAGATGTCCGGTAGGTCGGAGGTCGATTGCGCGACCTCGAAGCGGCGGCGTTCTTCCGAGAGACGTTGCGTCGAAGCATAACCGCACTGATCGGCGTGAAGCTTCGGGCTGTGGCTGACGGTGGACGACTCCGGTGACCATTAAGCGTGTGACGGACTGAAGAGGCGGTGCTTCTGGTGGAGGCCATCTCTGTGGTCGACGGCGGACCCTCGGCGGCGGACGGCGAATGGGAGGCAGCGGGCTGGTGGTGGTTGTTGCTGGAGGTGTGTGTGTGTGTGTGGCGGCGGGTGTGTGGCGGCGGGTGTGTGCGTGATGCAGTGTGTGTGTGTTAGGGTGTGAGAGAGAGGTGGGTGTGAGAGAGATGGGGTGGGTTGGGGGGTCCACCAGAATTGATTGTTATTTTAATTACTATTATACCCTTAATGACTGGCCAAAGGAACATATTTGACCATCATATGTTCAAATATTTACTATAATGCCATTAAATGTTTGACTGTATTATTAATGTTTGACTTAATCATGACCATTGATTTGTTAGATCTAAAGGTTTACATTTATTCTTATTTCCTTCACCATCTCCCTTTCTCATATAATCCCTTCTCTATATATATAAATACTAGTATGTACCCGTGCGATGCACGGTGGGCGCATAACTTAAAACATATTGAAGTACTTATTTTAAATGTAATTAATTGAATTTAACATATAATTATGAAAACAAAAATAAAAATAATAAAGAAATCATATATTATTTAAAACTTCTCTGCACACAGCATTATTTGTTTGATTTGGGGGCAAATCATGTTCACCACATATTAGAATTTTCAAACCATTTATGTTGGTGACGCGCGAAACAACAACATATAACTGGCTATGACTGAAAACTGGTTTCTTCAAGAATAAACCAACGTGGGATAAGGATTGACCCTGGCTCTTTTTAATAATCATTGCATAAGAGACCACGATAGAGAACTGCCTTAGTTGAAACTTAAAAGGTACTCTTGCATCCGAAGTTATCGTCATTCGAGGTATCAACACTTTATCCACAGCATGGTCGCCCGTAAGTATCCTACATTCTAGGACATGATTGGAGAGTCTTGTAACAACCAAACGTGTCTCGTTGCACAATCCCATAGAATGATCCATGTTCCGCAACAGCATAACCGGAGTTCCCACCCTCAAATGCAACTCATGATTTGGTGTACCAGAACATTTGAGAGAATTTGAGAACTCAGGAGTGTGGATTTCTGACAAGAAGTCAGAATTCACATCGGATTTACAGGTACTGTCGGAGCTCAAATATACACGACCTTTCTGTTAGATTCAACGACGACATGTATTGGTTGATAGACTCAACGATCTCCAACGTAGTAAGCATCCCATGCGATGCACGGACGAACTTGTTTCTTGAAATATTTTTTTTTTAAAAAAATTATATTTAAAATGTAATTATTTATATTTAAACAACTCATTATATTAAATATAATTATTTATATTTAACATATCTCATTATTGATTTTTATAATAAGTATTTTTCATAATTAATTATCACTCAAATAAATCAAATAACTAATTACCATTCAAAGAAAACAATTAATTAATTAACATAATTGTTTCCTATAAAAAAAAATAAGCAATGCATATTAGACAATTAATGTGCACATCCCATCCAGGAACTGACTTTCGTATCAATCGAGAACTTCTCACACGTCACATCTCCTGGCTTGTCATTCCCAAGTGCCACCCTTCGAGCTAAATATTCTCGTCCGATCTGCCATAGCCCAACAACTCAGACCAACCGCCAGAAACTCGTGCAACCAGCCCGAGTCCAACAAAAAAATATTGTATTCTGCTGGTATTTCACAAGCGCGCGCAATTCACATCCAACAAAATTTCGCTCAACAATTCACGCACGTCTCATTTTTCGTAGCAAAATCCAACCAAGAAAAATGAACCGTCGTTCGAAAAATTATCGCCAGCGCTCAAAATATTCGATTGTCTTCACCAGCAAAGAGTGCGACCATTTGTCGCCTTCAACATCCACTCCAGTCCGACCAGCATTGCACGCAAAACAATCGAGATACCTCACTCGTTCAGTCGGTCTTCTTGCCATGTTTGTTACCAACTGCCCGTCAGCAGCATCATTGCAACGTCCAAGCATCAACAACCTTCGTCCAGCAGTCAGGAACAACCAGCACCAGCACCGACGACCTCATATCTTTAAGCTTCGTTGACCCTTCAGTATGGTCATCCTTCGGCCGTCGATTTCGAGCCAAAACTCGACCAATAAGACCATCATCAGCCGCCTGAGACTTCGTACAGTTTGTCCATACTTCCCGATGCACGACCAAAAACACACAACCATCAACCATCAGCGTCCGACGCTGCATCAATTTTGCCTCGACTTTCCAATGCACGACCAAAAATTGCCAGCCTTCAGCCGTCAACTTCCGACGCCGCATCTGTCCGATAATGTATGCCCGCTGACCTCTGTCAGCCCTAGCCGTAACCCGGCCCCTCGTACAAGCCATGGATGCAACCTAGCCGGCTGTGGACTACGGGTAGCCGACGATAAATATATATATTGAGTTTGAAGGGAGACAATGATAAAGGGAATAATGTGGAATAATGTTAAATTATTTTTAAAAATAATGAAGAGTTTGTTACCAACAAAAATTCTATGGAGCCATCCGATGGCTCTATAGCAAAACTGTTATTACCAATATAATTATATGTAAGTTAAGATAAGATGTAATGTACTAAAAAAAATCTGCATGTGATTGCTTTCTTTGAATGTTTAATTTAATTTTTTTCAAAATATTTAGTCTGCTATTAAATTATAGTAGATTTATAAAAATAAATAGGAATAAGTAATTTTTTGAAACGATAATTACGGATCAATTTATGGAATTGGGATATGTGATAGTTTTGCAGTTATCTTGCTAAAGAATGGATTGTGTAGAGATTTAAATAACGTGTCATTCTATTTTTTTGATATCTAATCATTTTTATTAACTTGTCTCCAACATAAATATTATGAAAATATTCAAATGCATGTGATTTTATAAGAAAATATCTATTTTTTTAATTTAATGACCGCATTAAAAATAAATTATGAAAATATTCAAACGCATATGTGATTTTGTAAGGAAAGATCTATTTTCTAATTTAATGACTACATTAAAAATAAATTTAAAGGAGCAGAATAATATAATATATATATATATATATATATATATGAATAAAAATCAATTATCTCGAACTCTCTATATATACAAATATATGTAAAAAAACATTAATTATCTCAAATGTAACCACTGAACGATTTTTTAGGTATTTATAATGTTATGATTATTGTCTAATAACTAACAATATTTAAAAATATAAAAAAATATGCTAACTACTTTTAATTTTCACGAATTTAGTGGGTAATAAATTCTTAAATATAGCTAGAATCTAATGTAAATTTTATCTATACAAAATATTAATGGCCCCAAATCAAGAAGATTTATTTGCACTTATTGATACTCAATTAATTTATATTATAAATTAATAAATATTGTCAATTTTGTCACATATCATCTTTTTCATTTCAAAAGGAAATTATTCTTCCAAAAATGGTGTTAGGAATATCTGCTGTCAAACTCAAATGATTATTAAATTACTCATACAGAAATATAGAAAAAAAAATATTTTCAAATGATACCAATTAAACTAACGGACTTGTAGGGATTTAAATCAAAAGGATAAAGGAAAACATGTGTTACAAAGTAAAAATTGGTTAGATAAATATTTTTTTTTTGCCGGAACGATAGATGTACTATAAAAAGCACAAAAGTGCAAAGAGAACAAATTACAAATTACAAGACCCCAACGGGGTAATCTAAGACCCCAACAGGGTAATGAGATAGGGGCCAACGGCCCAAACCAAAAACACGCCTAATAAAGAACAGGAATAGAAAACTGAGAGGACACGCACATGGCGGCCTAGAGAACTCCACAACAGAAAATAAAGGAATATAAATAACAGAGCCACTGCACACTGCCTAGCCTGTATTCATATCCAAACAAAGACAGACAAACACACAGACCAACTAACGAACAAAAAACACAGAAAACAAACAAACAAACAATAAGCACTCTAAATAAGCCCTTCCTAAGCAGCTAAACCAAGCTGAGCCGATGGATACCGAGTCAATCCAGATAGAGTCCCACAGCCAAAGAGAGTCGACCCGAAACTGCCCAAACACCAACTTGGTGGCCTAACGAAGTCAAAACCCAAGCCCCGGAACAACATCCAAAATCAAACTCGAGCCACAACCTCAACACCAAAAACGCCTCAGGACAACCACGTGATCGAGCCCACTAACACCACTAGCGAGTCCAACCAAACCTGGAAAAACCCCGAGCCACAAAGATGCCGAGCCGCAGCTACATCACCGACCACCCGAAACCACTGCACACCACCACCCACCACTGCCCCAACTCGGCCATCACCACTGGCCGGAGGTCAGAGCAATGGTCAACTCCGGACCCAACATCAAAGGAACGGGGAAGAAGGACGGAAGCACAGCAGAGCTTCGGCCGTCCGACACCATCGCCGTCGAACAACCGAAGCACCTTCTACCCGACCGAATCCGCCGCAGTCCTCCGCCCACCACCGCCCCGCCTCTGCCATCACCACTGGCCGGAGGCAAAAAGATGGTAATTCCCAAGCCCACCAACAGGGGAAAAGGGAAAAGAACAGAGAACGCGGCGGAACTTCGAAACCCACCTCCCTTCACCACTCACCGGAAAACCGAAATAGCCCGCTGGTCGGCCAAAGAAATACCGACCCAATCTTAAGAGATGAGGCTAACCTGAGCAAGCGACGAGAGAGCGCGAGAAGCCGGGCGAAGGCCAGGCGGCCATTGATGACCACCGATTCGAGCTTAATTGCCGCTGAGGAAGGCCAATCGACTCGGGATTGAAGGCGGACGCGCGGCGGTTAGGGTTGGGAGAAAGGGGATCGGGATTGAAGATATATTTAGTAAAATTCCTAATTGTAATAAAAAAATTAATTTTTGCTATATTTTAGAATATCTGTAAATTCATTATAAAAAAAAAAAAGAAAAAAAAAACTACAATGTAAAAAGCAAGTCAGCTATATATCGATTTGTTGTACTCCTCAAATCACATTCACAATTTGGCTACAAGGAAAGGAAACTCATTGATTAAATATTATTTTGTCAGTAGTCTTAATGTACAAGAGACTTTAAGACTCCACTTGAATATTATAAAACTTTTATTGAATATTGTACAATTTTCTTGCGTATTATAAACTTTTATTGAATATTGCATCTTATAATATAATATTCTCCAAATAAATATTCTCGTGCTTCGCACGGGTCACGTACTATATATATCCCGTACATTTTTCTTTATTCATGTATATAATTATAAGCCTGGATAAATAGCCTTAAAATCGTGCACCCAGTGCATCGCACGGGCTCTGTACTAGTCAAATAACGAATAGGTAAAAGACATAAGGTCTTTTAGAATGTTAACTAAGTTGAAGTACATAAGGTCGTCTAGAAGGTTAACAAGTTGGAAGACATAAGGTCTTCTCAAAATGTTAACAAGTTAAAAGACATATGGATTTCTAGAAGGTTAACAAGTTGAAAGATGTAAGGTCTCCTATTTCTATTTGAAAAAGCCCATATTTAGGATATCCTTAGGGTCCCTGTTGTAACCTATAAATACACCAAGTCCCATACCTCCAACACAACTATTGCCATCCGATTTATAGTCTTCCAAAGGGAGAAAAATTGAGTGAAATATATTAGGAGTTTTGGGAGTTTCGTTTAGTCGCACCACCAAAACTATTCGAAGTAGGTGTAATGGTAATATATCAGAAAATCGTAGGGTATAATTTTTCGAGTTCCCGACGAATATATTCATCACCAAAAATCAACCTTGATCAGCACTTGGCCAACCACGGCGGTCCCCGGTGACAACCCAGCTCCCACCCACAACCTCGACGACCCGCACAACGACGTACAGACCTGCGAGAATCTTGCTAGTGCCCGATGATCCGCGTCCTCAGTGATCGACACGTACGCACTCCCTCAATGCCCGACGCGCATCCCGTACACGGACAATGCCCACGCGCAGAGACCCACACCCGGACCAGACGTGATCCGACGATCCCGAGGCCCAATTCAAGCGAATCGACTGCGTAGGACACCATCTGCATGCACACATGCACGCCACAGTCTTTCACACCAATCTGCGGCCTCTGGTATCCAAACTGAAAAGAATTCTTGGTATGAACGCCCCAATCGAAGTTTCAAATTCAGATATCCTGCCATGAACTTAGCCTGCAAAAATATAAAAAAAGAAAAAAAGAGAAAGAAACAAAGTACATGACTAGCTTATTCGAAAGAGAATAAATAATAACTACAAAACAAAGTTTAAAATGTCATAATAACACAAACCTAACTCTTCCCAGTTCCTCGGTGCATCGAAGTATCCATGGAGTTATGGTACACAAACGTCTTTTCATGAACAATGAACACAAGTAAGAAGAAGTGAAATTTGTACAGCACTGGAAGGAAAACATATTTCACCCTCATCAAGGACCTCAGAAGATCATCAAGCACGGCAACATTACTTCTAGTAAGACTAGAAGTACACATATCATAATCTTCGTCCTTCCAAACGGTTTTTTTCTTCATTCTTTCAATAGCACTCACCAAATCACTCTACAAATTCAATAATTCCTTTAGCAAATTAATAATAACTAATAGTTAATAGAGTATATTAAAATAAAGTACCTGAACATAGGTCGGCAAAAAATGGAGATGAGGATGGGCGCCACGCAGGATCTCCATGTAGCAATCAACGAGTTTAGAATCCAACTCGTTCCCGAACAAAAGTGTGCATATCGATTTGCCTCGGACCAAAATGTGGTCATTTCTCCACTCACTTTTGCTACCAAAATTTGTAATTTTAATTAGTATAATATAACAGAAATTAAAATAATTAAAGTAATTTCGGTTACCTCAAGTCATCGCTTGCCAGGAAATCCTGGATGGCTGCAGCCTCCTCTTCTTGGACATCCCTATGTCCACAGAAATCATCTCTACCCATATATTCATTCAGGGAAGAATCATGATCGGTGTCATTCTTGTCAGCCTCCTACATTATAAAATAATTGGTTAGTTGTATGAAAACAACACGAACAATCACATAAATTACAAAAATAAAATTGCTAGTTTAATTACCTCATTATCACTCAAGCTCAGCATACTGCAATTTTTTTTTTCTTTCTTCTGCCTCATCGGACGGGATAATGGAGGGGTTATAAAATCAGCCGACTTCGTCTTTTTCTTCTTGCCTACCCTCTCCCGCACCCTCTTCACCATTGAAGAGGGTTGTTGTTTCTCCTCTGGTTGTCGTCTCGAGCTCTGAGTACTGTGCTCAGGGTTCGGATCATCCGACAACACTTGTGAATCCACCCCTCCCATCAAACCAGCAAATTCCTCCCTCATACCAGCAGACTCGACTACCAGGTTTACGAGTCGGTCCAAATCTTCAAAGTCATTCACAACAGCTTCATTTTCAACCACCATCAGAGCCCATCTTTCCTCATTTTTTTCCTCCTCCTCTTTTTCCTCCTCCTCCTTCTCTTTTTTCTCCTCATCCTCCTCCTCTTTTTCTCCTATTTTTACTTCTCCTCCTCTTCTTTTTCCTCACTTTTTTCCTCAGTCTGACAAAAACCATCAAGAGCCTCATCTTTCTCACTTCTTTCCTCTTTTTCTTTTTCTTCATTCTTTCTTTCTCTGAACTCGGCCTCCAATAGTTGAATTCTTTTTCTCAGTTCTTCGTTCTCAAGACAAACCTTGGCAAACAACCGGTTCTCAACTGTTCCCTGTACATAAAGAAAAAAAAATAAATGAAAACATAAATTAAAGGCACTTGTACCTATGAAAATATATTAATGCTAAAAAATAAATTCTCGACAAAAATTAAAGGAAAACCTGGGTTTCCACAAACGTATGCTCCTCCATAACAGGCGATACTGAATACACCTGGAAAGTAAATCATAATGATTTAAGTACAATATCGATTAACCAAAAAATAAAAAGAAGAAGAAGAAAACACAAAATACTATAAAATTATATAAATTACCTTATGCCTCATTATTTTCTTCAGGGTTTGGAAAGACCCTTCCAATGTCGACGACAACGTGCTCCCTGTCCATCGAAATAGACGGGGAATCACCTCGAGCATCGACCGCTTGCCCAAAGAAGGGACACGCTCGTAACCAAGCCTACGTATACACATGATTCCAAATTTACACAATTTGACAATTTAATATTATTGCATTAAGACACTAGAACAAATATACACATATCATCAATCCCACTGCACATCCATCGTACCCACAAATAGCGAACTAGCTCGCCAACCAAGAATTTGTGAGTAGCATCTCCCCATGCGTACCCACAAATTCGACCGACATCCTCCACATACGGATAAACAAACCTTTGAACTGAATAGCTTGAACAAGGGAACAAAATGCAGCTAAACACAAGCAAAGTGTACATCCGGATGAAGTTGTCAACACGACCTTCATCCGCAGCATACTTACCTTATAGCTCTACGACATTTTTTCTTTTCAACAGCTTCTTATCTACTCGACCCCAGGCATCGAAAATGGCTTTCGACTCTATATTATGGTCTAAGTCTACGCGTTGTTATACAAAACTCGGCTGGGTCGAAATTCAAAACCAAATTATCACCAACAATAAGAGCATTCAAATCTACCTTGTACGTGCTAACTAGAGCCTCAACTCTACTATGCAAAACTGCTAAAGCGGGCATATTCACAAAAAAATAAAAATGACTCTTTTCAAGAGCCTCCTTGTGCTTGTCCGAGAGCACAACAACCGTTCTATCCATCACATTTTTGAAGTATGAAGGGGCACACCTACATCTTAGTTCTGTGCCCTAGCACAAACAAATAAAACAAAGACCATTTTCAAACAGCGATACAATTCAACAATAACAACACCGCAACCCATTTCAAAAATAACAATACCTCATTCAAATTGATATAAAATACTAAACAACACCTCAGCCCTAATTGATATTCAAATTGATATAAAACACCAAACAACACCTCAACCCTAATTGATATTTAAATTGATATAAAACACCAAACAACTCCTCAACCCTAATTGTTATTCAAAATATAAAACACCAAACAACACCTCATCTCTAATTCACATTCAAATTGATATACAACACCTCAGCCCTAATTCATATTCAAATTGATATAAAACACCAAATAATCCCTCAGCCATAATTGATATAAAACATCAAAAAACACCTCAGCACTAATTGATATTCAAATTGATATAAAACACCAAACAACACCTCAGCCCAAATTGAAGAACCAACAATGAATTGGGTTAAATTCAACACACCAAAATTGATAAACAGCAGCAACAACTAATTCAAATAAAACAAGCAATTGCGAGTCAAATTTCGAGTACCAAACAAGCAATTACGAGTTAAATTCAACAACTAATTCAAATAAAACAATAACAACAGCAGCAACAATTGATCAAAAAAAATACCAAAATCAAAAAATTATGAACCCTAGACCTGCAAAGAGCCCTAATTTATCAATAATTTCGTAATTGGTGAAATAAAACTCAAATTCGAAGTGCATTAACATCAACCAAATACCAAATTTTTAGTGTTTAAAAAATAAATAATTCATAGAAAAGAACCATCCAGTAGGCGACTTCCCAAATTGTTGGTGTAGTATGTGGTGTGGTGGGCTATACATAAGT